CGTATCCACAGGGAAAGGTATAATTCTCTTTCTATGAACTTAATGAATAAAAAGGGGGGTTTTGGTTAGAGTGATTTAATTTAATTAAAAACTAAGATTAACAACCTATATGTGTTTAATTCAAGAATAAAAGGGACTTGGCTTTGCTACTTTCCACTTGTTGATATATTTTAGTCGATCCTTGTTATATCTATAACTTATCCCCTCTTGAATACTCAATCGAGGAGTATCTCCAATTCATCGAGGGTAGTTATTAACAACGACCGTTCATTAATAACCCTTACTATTAATCAAATATAGAACAACGCCTTATACCGATATAATAGTAGCATTCAATCTTTTTAACTCCTTGATGAAATCAATTGAGATTGAAAACCTTAACACAACGGTTTCGGTTTAACCAACAAAATTGATCCCTCTTAAGTCTATTAACCACGACCGTGCATTAATAAACCGAAGTTACTTACTTGTGAAACCACCAACGATTAACCATCGGTTCGTTGATCGTTTCTAGTAGTAATTAATGTCGGAACGTTAACTAATCGTCACTTAGCAACCCTCCAACATTAATATAGAATGAGATTAAGGGAAGAATTAATAATCAAGAGAAGAAGTTAAGAAAATAACTCACAACTTTAATAATCAACAAGCTTCAAGAGCAAAACCAAGAATGGAAGTTTAGCTCCTCATTTGGAGGCTAAACATAGCTAGAAAAATATAAAGAAATGCTATTCTAAACTGAGCTAAAGAGATTGGAAGAAGGGATGCTGAAATATGCAGGAAAATGGGGCTATTTATAGGTGTTTTCAACACCTAATGCCGGATACCCGGCCGGGTATTTTGACATACCCGACCGGGTATTTACCTAATCAAATATTTTCCCATGTTTTTGTGTCTTCTGCACGTCTTTTGGTCTGAAATCACAGAATACCCGGTCGGGTATATGGAATACCCGACCGGGTATTTGCTAGTTTGCAGCAGTTTCCTTTGTCACTTCATACCCGGCCGGGTAAAATCCATACCCGACCGGGTTTTGCACAAAACTCAGGTTTCTTCATCCTTTTTGCTTCCAAACCTATCCTAAACTTAAAACCAAACTAACTACAACCTACAACAAACAATAAAATGCTAGAAATATGATTACAATCAAATGCAAACTCACAACTATAAACTTGCACAAAACTAGTAAATAAACACTACAAACAATAATAAAAATGTATACTTAGGCACTAACAACTAGTGCCTATCAGTATATCCCACACCCGGTAGGGTAACAGCACAAAAGGATTATATCCGGGCAACACAGCCACCGGGTAAAAAACAGAAGCTGAAAAAATTCAAAAAATAGCCTAATACCCGACCGGGTATTACAAAAACCCGACCGGGTTTTTGGCCAAAACAGCCACTGCCAAGCGAAAAACAGCATACCCATTCGGGTATTACTAAAACCCGGCCGGGTAATTGAGATTTTAGTCCGATTTGGCCCCAAATCAGCCCACAAAACACCCATTCTCTTCCCTAATCTCCCAAACTCAAACCCTCAACCTCCATTGACAATCATCCACACTTCAAACCACTCCAATCTCAACCAAAACATCCAAATTAACCCCACATTCTTCTTATCCACATCATCCTCTCCAACCACAAAACCTCCAAAACAAAATGTCATTTTTTTTCTCCTCGCCCTACTTTCCAAACCCACACACACAAAACCCACCAAATTTCCCAAATACCCTACAAACCGAATTCCTTAACCCCCCAAGCTCAACTTTGGAATTCACAAAAAAAAAATGAAAAAAGCACCAAAAAGAACACATATCTTCGACCACCAAGGGTACTTCTCCAACATGCCCACCTAGTACAACAACCGACGTGGTTTTATCCCTCATATTAGGGCGATTGGGAGTTTCTAGCTCCAGTGAACATAGTCTTGGTGGTGATGGTGGTTATGGAGGGTACGACGACGATCATGGTGTCGAACACTAGGGACATTGTTTTTAAAAAAGTGTAGGGGAGGCAATCAAAAGAAAAAAAATTCTAGTTAGGTTGAAAACCCCCAAAAAATGGGCAATCTAAGCAAAAGTGGCTAAAATGAGTGAGTTGTGAGCAAAAAAACAATAAAAATAAAAAGAGAGGCTAGGATGAAAACCTGAAAAAGGCTCCTAGGCTAAATGAGAGAATGAGAGAAAAATATCTATTTATGCAAGAAGATAATCAAAAAAAAAATGTTGGATGGTTGTTCTGCTACTCTTGTGGTTTTTGAAAATTTCATGGACATGTTTTAATTTACTCGAGACGAGTAAAGGTTCAAATGTGGGGGTGTTTGATAGGCACTAGTTGTTAGTGCCTAAGTATACATTTTTATTATTGTTTATAATGTTTATTTACTAGTTTTGTGCAAGTTTATAGTTGTTAGTATGCATTTGATTGTAATCGTATTTCTAGCATTTTATTGTTTGTTGTAAGTTGTAGTTTGTTTGGCTATAGGTTTAGGATAGGTTTGGAAGCAAAAAGGATGAAGAAACCTGAGTTTTGTGCAAAACCCGGTCGGGTATGGACTAAAACCCGGCCGGGTATGAAGTGACAAAGGAAACTGCTGCAAAACTAGCAAATACCCGGTCGGTATTCTATATACCCGGTCGGGTATGAAGTGATTTCGGACCAAAGAACGTGCAGAAGACACAAAAACATGGGAAAATATTTGATTTGGTAAATACCCGGTCGGGTATGTCAAAATACCCGGCCGGGTATCCGGCATTAGGTGTTGAAAACACCTATAAATAACCCCATTTTCCTTCACTTTTCATCATCCCTTCTTCCATTCTCTTTAGCCCAGTTTAGAATAGCATTTCTTTATATTTTTCTAGCTATGTTTAGTCTCCAAATGAGGAGCTAAACTTCCATTCTTGGTGTTGCTCTTGAAGTTTGTTGATTATTAAAGTTGTGAGTTATTTTATTAACTTCTTTCCTTGAATATTAATTAACAGTTCTTTCCTTAATACCATCTCTATATTAATGTTGGGGAGTGTTGCTAAGATGACAATTAGTTAACATCTCGACATTAGTTAGAATGGTATTTTCTTCCTCTATATTAATATTGGGGAGTGTTGCTAAGATGACAACTAGTTAACATCTTGATATTAATTACAGTAGGATTCATCTTCTTTAATAATATTCTTCCTTGAATATCAATTAATTCCTACTCATATTTCATATTAATATTTTGAACATTACTTAAAGGATCAACTAGTTTTGTTTCATATATTAATTATTACTAGAAATGATCAACGAACCGATGGTTAATCGTTGATGGTTTCACAAGTAAGTAACTTCGGTTTATTAATGCACGGTCGTGGTTAATAAACTTAAGAGGGATTAATTTTGTTGACTAAACCGAAACTGTTGTGTTGAGGTTATCAATCTCAATTGATTTCATCAAGGAGTTAGAAAGATTAAATGCTACTATTAAATCGGTATAAGGCGTTGTTCTATATTTGATTAATAGTAAGGGTTATTCATGAACGGTTGTTGTTAATAACTACCCTCGATGAAGTGGATATACTCCCCGATTGAGTATTCGAGAGGGAATAAGTTATAAATATAACAATGATCGACTAAAATATATCAACAAGTGGAAAGTAGCAATGCCAAGTCCTTTTTATCTTTGAATTAAACACATATAGGTTGTTCATCTTAGTTCTTAATTAAATTAAATCACTCAAAACCAAAATACCCCCCTTTTTAATTACTAGTTTCATAAAAAGCGAATCATTCCTTTCCCTGTGAATACGAACTCTACTACGCTATACTACGTATAAGTGTTTAGTATTGAATTTATTTTGACGCACCGTGACAAAGTGCTCGTCACGTACGTCATATCCAAACCAAAAGAAAACTAGAATAAATAAATAAACTTAAAGTATTTGATGTCCTTGTTTGTGGTAACATTAATATTTGAGTACATTTTTCATTTTTACACAATTTTTCTGGGTATAATTTTACTTATAACTCCATTCATTAATCAAAATATCATCATACTAACTAAACCTGTTAATCCTTGAAAACAATGTTTAAAATACTTATTACTTGTGATAATATATTTTTATATTTTTATTGAAATCATAAAAAAGGTTTAAGTAGTTGTACTAATTAAATCAATAAAAAAGTAATTAATATGCTTAAAAGTCATTTAACAAGTTATCAGCTAATTATAAGCAGCTATTTAATCAAACACCATCTTACAAACTGCTAATCCTTCTAGCCGATCAAAACAGTCAACACAATCTGATGTCATCAATCAGCTAACACAATCAACCAACAGCTAAGAGCCAACAGCCATTTGCCAAACACCTCCTATATTTGAATGGATCCATATTGATATTATTCTTTTGATAAGGCCCAACAACTATTATGAGCAACCCAATATATTTGAAATCGGCCCGATAGTGTTTAATAAAGGCCCAATAAGAACTGGCCCAATAATTTTTTAGATGTCCACACTTAGTTTACTTGCAACCTTCTAATAATACATTTTTTAGTCTTGATTGGTGTCTAAGTGCACCTTAGAATTCACATAGCCTCCAATTGAGCCCAAAACCATGTATTGAGATTTTTTTGGATGAAAATGTATTCAGATTTTTAAGGTTAGTGCTATTACATACATTTGAGGTCATAATAATCTTTTGTTCTTCCAATTAAATGTATTAGTCAGATCAAACTATTTTAGTATAGCAATTTCATATTGCAACCATACAATTTAGTTTGCTCGAATTGGAGACTCCCAAATCACTTAAGCTACCAGCATCAAGCGATGGTATTTTATATATATGTTCATTGATTAAATTTCTTATTAACTTCATACAAACTTCTATTTACTTTATGTCAGCGAGGAGGATTTTATTTCCACAACCGCTTATATTCATTTCATCAATATACCAATGAGAATGTTGCGGTTAAAAAAAGCGATAAAAGTCAACGAATACCATAAAATGGCATTCTAAACGAGCTCAATAAAAGTTCACCAATAGAAAAAATAGATATAAGATTCAAAATAAGAATGAATGCGTTCTATTTTGAGAATAAAACTACAGATCGTGAACATTATTCTTATTTTATTTTATTTAAGGGGTTTCCTGACTTTTCAAAAGTAAAAGATAGAATGAAAGAAAACCCTTTTTATTTTCCCACTACAACATATTACTAAAAACCGCTGGCTTTGTTTATTACCACCAAGCTCCCTCCTTCTTCTGCCACGTGCAATCCGGCCATCAAGAACATGCATCTGATAAAACTTTACTTTGACGAGGTTGCTTTGGTCAACGATGTGAACGTGACCTTAGAGCCCAATAAGAACTTCTCCGAATCGCAGGTAAACGTGTCATACCGCAGGAAGAATTGGGCCAACAGCAAGCGAGAAAGCAAGACGACGAAGTCCTTCCCAGGACACTGCTTGTCGTTGACCGCCGGTGTGTCGGTCTCTCTTCCGTTAGACCAATACACGTTCCGTACCAGTTTCTGGCCCTCGTCGCCGACGAAACGGTCCGGCACAAACTCGCCGGTGTTCTTGAAAACTAGTTCGTCCCTCGTCGCAAAGGGTTGGTACCCGAATATCATTTCGTCTTTCTTTATCAAATAGGACTTGTTGTCGCTGCTACGGACTATGAGATCCCGTTTGGCCTTGCCGTACTGGAACGCCACCGGCGGCTCGATCCTGAGAGCCTCCCACACCACCGACTTGGTCAGCGGCATTTTCTCCAGAGCTGCGGCGGTCAGGCCACCTTAAATATATAAAAGGTCACGATTCATCAACAAGATTGTATTCATTAAAACGGACAAATATTAAAGTATAAGGATGGTTTTAAAATATATCTTAATTGTTTCTGATCTAGTTTAATCAAATTTAGCTTTGATTGGTGTGTCTAAATTAATTCAGTCGTTCCGGATAAGTTAATTTTAAGGTAGATTCTATTGTATCCGTAAGGTACCATACCTTACATGGATCAATCAGAATGCTGCAGTTGAATTATTTAAATCTAAATTAAAAATGATATAATGATTTAGACCAATCAAGTGAATGATAGGTACGGTACCCCACTTTTAAGGTGGGTACCGGAATTATCACCTATTTTTAATCATGATCAGTTAGTTGGAGTATTATTGATACTTAGGTTCAATTCAATTTCTCATGATTTTGGGCGGAGCCCATACTTCTATCCACGCAACAGTACTCAGAAAAATGACATGTTTTTCATGTGCATGTGGTCGGTCAATGTAGTGTATCCTACCTAATCTATTTTTAGAAAATGACACGTTTTATGTTATATGCCTTAACATATCCTATAGATCGATAATGTAGAATACCCATTGTGAGAGCTTACAAACAACTAATTATTCCGGACTATAAGCTATATATCATTCGATCTCGTCATACCCACACTCGGGCGAATCCAAGAATGAAGGGTATGATGGGTTAAGCAATAATTTTTTTTGTTACCGCTCACAAAAGGTTTAAGTAGGACTGTTATTGAATCGAGTTTTTTTTAACTACTCGAGTTTTAGCATAATTTTGAGCTTAACATGCTTCGAGCTCGAACACGAACTAGGTTTTGAGTTTGAATAGTTATTCAAATTGATTTAGAGAATAGGTATGTTCAATTCAAGCATGTGGATAACTTATAATTTGACTTTTAAAGTCAAAGAAGTTAAACTTTGAATGACTATATATTTATACAATAATATTGATAATATGAAAATGATACTTCTTATAAAAATATTCTTTGTAGAAAATATTATCATAAAAGTATAAATTTATTAAGTTTCACAATAATACATTAGTTAAAATAATGGATCAAAGTTTACCATCTTTGACTGAAAAAGTCAAAGATGACTAAATAAAAAGGAACGGAGGTAGTATATCATAAAAATTTAAATTTTTTTGTGCGATTTTATAATTTTTTAATGTTTATTAAAGATTTTAGTATTTATTGATACGAATTAAAATACTTCTATAATAGTATAAAACTAATAAGTAAAAATAGTTATTGTACATAAAACTAATAAGTATTCCCTATTTTAAAATTAAATTTAGATTTTGAATCCTTTCTTACATGTCTAAAAAATTTAGATTATACGATCCATTGCCCGAAGTCCCGAACATACTACTCCGTAAAAAAGTGAAACAAAAGATCAACTCCAGGTTACCGAGTACATATGATACTCCATTTATGAAGGCTCTTCAACAATGACCGGACAGTTAGATGAAAGGATATAAATTGGATTTTAATCACAGGCTGACAGATAGAGAGTGAAGTTCTGGCCCTGGTACTTGCAGAGACTCTATATATGCATTTTGAGCATAGTAACCTCTCATCGTAATTGTCGAGATTCGAACTTGATACTTACCCCTTGTGGCACACCCTATCTATCAGTTGAGCTACGCTCACCGGTACCGAGTAGATACTATCGCATGTTGAAAAGAGCTAGATTGCCACACGAATAGTTACTGTATTGATAAACTATACTCCCTGCGTGTGGATATTAGATAATGCAATATATATACCTAAAACCAATTTCTCTTGATCAAAGATAATCAAATTTGACCAATGACACATATTTTGATAAGAAATTATTTTGAATATGAAAAGTATATCAAAATGTTCTTATTCAAAATATTTTCTAAAAGTATACAACTTACAAATCATATAAAAATATAATAATTAAAATCATCGTCCAAAGTTTGTCTTCATTGACCAAGAAAAGTGATGAATCTTTTCGAGCCTGAAGTAGTATTTATTATGGTTTGGTGCGAGTTAAATTGTGTTGTTCTAAATTCTAATGTTCACGATAAATGTATATATTGACTTTTCCTAAATAGGATCGGAACATCACCTATATCGTCTTAGAAAGTCTGGTAAATGTAGTGAGCTGTTTTTTTTATGGTATAGTCGTATTCAGTGGTATCGAGGGGCGGGACAGTGAGTCAATGACGGTGGTTTTCCAAGACTTTTTTTTTTATTGCCATAATTTCTATGAAATTTCATGATGACTTCCTGGTTGCGTTATTTGTAGGTACTTTACTTTTATCCACGTAGCTAGCATTTCCAAATCCACAAAAATTAATGAATCAAATTATGACTCATAGAGTTATATGGACTAATTAAAATAGAATTACTATTATCATTCATTTTTTTATGAAACCCATGTTTTATGAAATCCCATTAAAAATTGAATCTTAATGGTAATGACATCTTACCTCATATACGAGTATATAACTTCATAAGATAATGATACATGTTTCCCTAAATTCACTCTCCCAAAATCTTAATTTGTTTGATTATTATTGTGGTGCAGATGGAGAAGGTGAGATATCAAAAGATATCTACTGGTGGTACTCAACAACATGTAATGAGTGCCCAAGGGGTGATTAATATGAACTGCGTAGTATAAAATAGAAAATGTATTATCTAAATATAACACATTTCTTCATGTAAAATCAGTAATATTATATTATTATTTTCAAAATATGACTAATTCATTTTTAAAGAATGAGTTTTGTTTTTTTTTTTATTTTTTAGTAGAAGAAAACGAGTCCTACATATATTTATATTATTAGAAATTGCCCTAAATAGGAGTAAAAATGTTTTGAATTCTATAATAGGACTTTCATATTTTTTATTCCCTAAATAGGAGTAATTCTGCCATGTTTGGAAAAAATGTCATGTTTAAAGTTTAGTAATGCCAATTTTGGCAGAAATTTACTCCTATTCAGGGAATAAAAAACATGATAGTCTCATTTTGTACATATATAAAATGCAGTATATTTCAAAATTTGTTTAACTGCCTTCCAGATTCAATTTTGAGCTGAAATTTGGTGTGCATAAACTAGATTTGATGAGGAACATGTTCAAAAAATTTCATCAAAAAATTCCACCGGAAACACCTTCTGATGGTGTTGTCCGCGGGGGGTTCCGGTCAAGACGTCATGACAAAAGGGTGGTCCGGCCACCTCAATTTGAGATAGTTCACGATGGTATGTTTTGATGATTTTTTTGTGTATGTTCTTCATAAAGTCTAGTTCATTTAAACCAAAATTTAGCAAAACATTCAATCCGAAAGACCGTCAAATGATTTTTGAAAGATAACTACGCCGGATTATACATATAAAACACAGTTATCTTTAAAAAATCATTTACCTGCTTTCCGGATTGAAATTTGTTCTTAAATTTGGTATAGATTAACTAGACTTAATGAATAACATACAAAAAAAATCAGCAAAACATCCCACCGGGAACCACCTCAAATTGAGGTGGCCGGACCACCCTTTTATCATGACGTCCTAACCGGAACCCCCCGCAGACAACACCATCAGAGGGTGTTTCCGGTGGAGTTTTTTGATGAAATTTTTTGAGAATGTTCCTCATCAATTCTAGTTTATGCATACCAAATTTCAGCTCAAATTTCAACCGGGAAGGCAGTTAAACATATTTTTGAAACATAATGCATTTTATATATGTACAAAATGGGCCATAAGAGAAGAGCCGTAATTCCAAGTGGCAGCTTTTGTACTATAGGAGAAGAGACGCCACTTCAAGTGACGGCTTTTCTTAACCACAGTTAACCTAGCAGTATTTTGGGAATTATTTTAAACCCAGCAGGTATTTTGGGAATTATTTATTTAAGTAGCATTATCATATCCCGGGAAAAAACTTTCTTATTTAATCGTTTTAAAAAATCATTATTTTCATTTAAAAATTAAAAAAGTACGGCTATAATTTATCTCATCTTTTATACAAATTTTAGTCACCAAACTTTTAACTTATTATTTAAAATTTAGACAATTTTTTTGGGAGAGATCACATAATATTATTAGATTCCAAATCTGTTCAGTGAGCCAAAAAAGCGCATGCAGGTGCCATTATATTATATTAATATATTATGGCATTACCTTCTTGGTCAACGACCCTTCTGACCTCACTAACCAACTGTTTGTGCAACCCGGGTCCGGCCGCTCCGACCCACTTGAACAGCGCCGGAAAGAAGACTTTGAAACCGCCGTATGAGTTAAAGCCGATGACGAAAATAACGTTATGACACGCCTCTTCCCTCTCAACCCCGGCTTTCTCGGCGTCGTCAAGAATATCCCGTCCCATACTTTCATAAAACGAGTCGTATATCTTATTGTACGCCGATTTCACGATACAGAACGGGATAGGAAAAGTGTGGAGGGCTAAATCCTCCACAAAGTTGGGAACCTATTTTATTCCCAGCGTCATGAGCGGCGCCAGCTGAGGAACAAGCCACGTATCGAAGCTCTTATTGCCGCCGCCGCCGAGCTTGGTGGCGGCGGGGCTTTTCCCGTCGCAGTAAAGCCTGAATAAGTACTTCACTGCCCTGTTATCGTTGAGGTCATTGAAAACTGACCGGCCGTTGACTTTAACCTGCTCTTCCAAGTCAGTGAAGAGGCCGGAGTAAACAGCGGTGAACTGTGGGACAACCTGTTTGAAAAATGATATTTAAATGAGCGACTTTAGTGATAAAATCACGAGTTTAATAAAAAATTACCGGGCTGTAAACCAGGCAAGAAGAAATAAAATTTGATGTATTATTTAAGTCTTCTCCAATTCATATTTTACCCAACTAATTTCTTAGTACCCGTAATTCTCGTAAACGAGAGTACGAGACCCTCAAAGTTATACTATCCTCTATATCATATTAGTTGCAACATTGCTTTTTTTAAACAATTCATGTACTCTACTTTGACTATATTTTATCGTTAAATTGTTTTTTATTTGTATCAAATTTTTTTGGAAAATATTGTTGAATTCGTTTCATAACTAAGTTTCCTAATCTGATTTTTAATTTTTATTTACTTTTCACTAATATAAAATTAAATATAATAATGATCAAAGTTTTGGGTTGATGCTCTTCAAAGTCCGAGTGTTGTAACTAAAACACAAGTACTCATTATATTTCATCATATTTCCAACGCAACCTTGTTCTTTAGCTTCGCCAGCGTGGAGAGGAAGAAGCCTTTCAAGGCGGCGTGCTTGGGCTCCGACGGGTCAAGAAATGCGCACATCCGGTGGCCGCCCGTGAACTTGGTGGAAGCCATGTAAGTGCCCTCGAAGACGTCTCTCTTCTCGACCTTGGAGACGTCGAAGAGGACGGGGAAGCTGGTGTTGTCGAGGAGTACGACGACTCTTGAGTTTCCGGCCATGAACGGTCCCGGCGGCATATTGCTCCGGAACACCGTTGACTGATACTTGTCCTTCCGGCTTTGGAAGAACTGAACCTCGCCTTGGTTGTAGTAGTAATCGTAGCGGTCAAAGATGGGGCCCAGAAAGGGGAGGCCGTAGCTGCCCGGAATATCTGTGATCGGGACAGTGTCGGCGTGAGATGGATCAAGTGTGGAGGAAGCAGAAATTAATGGAGCTGAGGACATTTTTTTGCTTTTTTTCTATTACAGCTTACATTAAGTTACAGCTTATATTGTGAGAATTTATAGGAAAGTATCATTCGATCGTGTCAAAGTTGCCCACTTGCCGTGCTGAACGGAGTCAAAATGTAAATTGATAGCAGATAATAATTTTAGAGGAGAATTCTAAACAAAAAAGACTAAAGGAAATTTCAATTGTCTACGACTCTAACTTTTTTTTATCATCAAAAACGACTTCTCATTAATATAGAGCAAACATGCAAGATAAAGTCCAAACAAAAATTACAGTTCCGATCGTAAGCCCTATAAATAGATTTAGAATCGATCAAACATACAAAACAACTTGATTCGCTAGACACAAAATGGGCAAAAAGAGGCTAAAATGACCGAAATTGAAACACAGCCTATCAAAAGTTCTTCAAAAATCAAAATACTCCAACCATACTTGCTCGAACTGAAATAAAAATAAGTACTATGAAAGGAAAAATAATACGAAAAATAAAAACTTTCCCAAAATTGCTTCCTCGCACGGAGGTGGTTCCGAAGGAGGACGGGCTGCTGAAGTATGGTAGAAGAGAATTTCAACCCCCCAGAAAATTCGTCTGAAACCCTATCCTTCTTGCGCTCGCCAATTTACTCTTGCCAATTTGCTACTTGAGATTTGCCATTGAAATTAGGGGTGGGAAAACCCGAACCGAAACCCGGAAACTGGCCCTGGCCCGGCCCAAATTATGATACCGGTCCGGGTTTTTTCTTTTTGACCGTCCCGAATAAAAAAAACCGGACCGAACTCGAAACTTCGGGCTCTTTAACGGGCCCTAAAATCTATAACCCGGCCCGGACCGATAAAACCCGAAACAATTAGCCTGAATATAAAATCAATATAATATACCAATATAATTTATAAATTAATTCCTAATTTATGGTTATAATCATGATGGACGAAAAAATGACTTAATAACTTTTAGTGACTACAAATATGTTCAATTTATTTACCGTAATGACCATGAAAACATATTTATAGTAACTTTAGTTACCTTTTTATCCATAAATTTTATTTTATAACATTTTTAGAAAACCTATATTACTTATTTTTATGCATCTTAAACAAAATATTATGATAATTGTCTTCTTTGGATTTGAATTCTTGGTGATTTTGGAGACTAATATTTGTGATTTTTATTAATTTTATTTGTGGTTTGTACTTTTTATTAATTTTATTTGAAAATAGATTTTAAAATATAAAAGAAAAATGAGTGATTTCACATTCGGGCTTTAACCGACCCAACCCGAACCCGGACCGAACCCGGGCAACAAAAAACCCGACTCGGACCGAATATAGTGGGCTTTTTTCGGTCCCTAATTTTCATAACCCGATGCCTTACGGGTAATTTCCTGGTTTAGCAAAAACCCGACCCGGACCGGACCGATCCCACCCCTAATTGAAATCCATGTGAGAGGTACAGGAGAAAACTCTATCATGTTGCCTTGTGTTTTGTTGGGAATATTTTATGGTGTTCAATCTAGTTAGTTATCTTTGTATTTGTGTAGTTATTAATTAAACGTGTAATACGGGCCACAAATGTGTATCAGCCCGTGGGCTTCCTTGTAACCCGTAAGTTAGCCAACTTCTCCTATAAAAGGAGGCTAACTTACGGGAACCTAGCGAATCGTAAGAGGCTTAGAGACGCAGAGGCGAGATAGAGAGAAATTAGGGTTGCCGCTGCTCTCCTTCTCCAGGGAGAGTAGCGGCAGGTTCATACGGTATACCAGATTGTTGGGAATATTTTATGGTGTTCAATCTAGTTAGTTATCTTTGTATTTGTGTAGTTATTAATTAAACGTGTAATACGGGCCACAAATGTGTATCAGCCCGTGGGCTTCCTTGTAACCCGTAAGTTAGCCAACTTCTCCTATAAAAGGAGGCTAACTTACGGGAACCTAGCGAATCGTGAGAGGCTTAGAGACGCAGAGGCGAGATAGAGAGAAATTAGGGTTGCCGCTGCTCTCCTTCTCCAGGGAGAGTAGCGGCAGGTTCATACGGTATACCAGATTCGCGTTGTATCTTGTCGATTTCTTCCTATCTGCTTCTTTATCATTGTTGTGATTGTATGATTGTTAGAATTATGGGACTAACATTTGGTATCAGAGCCGAGGCGTGAAACAGGTTGGATCTGTCTGCGATTTTTGGATCTAACGAAGAACTGCTCTGTTTTTTCTTCTGTTTTTCTATATGTAGAGATTTGCTCCTGTAATCTCGTTTGTGAACAAAATTTTGTAAAAAACATACTGTTGGACTCGCCTTTCAAAACTGATCCAGCAGCATACCTCTTAATTTTTCACTGCTGCAGAAATGTTTTTGGCTTGAAACTGATACAGGAGAATCTCGACTTTCAGGGCTATTCAGAACAGGTTTCAGTTTTTCAAAAATCAATGTTTTCGTTTTGCAGGATCTCGACATTTAGGGACTCGATTTCTTCTTCTCGACTTTTGAGATCTCGAGATTTGCATCTCGACATCTTGATCTCGAGATTTGCATCTCGACATCTTGATCTCGAGATTTGAATCTCGAAATCTTGATCTCGAGATTTGAATCTCGAAATCTTGATCTCGAGATTTGCATCTCGACATCTTGATCTCGAGATTTGCATCTCGACATCTTGATCTCGAGATTTGAATCTCGAAATCAAGATCTCGAGATTTGAATCTCGAAATCATGATCTCGAGATTTGTGATCTCGAGATTTGGAATTTCGAGTTTAGGAATTTTGAGTTTTGGGATTTCGACATTTGGGATCTCGATGTTTTGAATCTCGACATTCTGAAGATTTCGAGATTTTCAAAAATTTCTCGATGTTTTGAATCTTTCAAAGTTTGCAGTTTCTTGGAACTCATAATTCGAATCTTGACATCCTTTGCAGTTCATCGAAGCTTTACATTATAAGGATCTCTGAATGATTCCCTACTTATAAATGTTTCAGGAGTTTTCGATGTTCTGATGTTTTTCAAACAGCAAGTTTTCGAGATTATGAGGTTTTCGAAACTCCAAAGTTTTCGATGTTCAAACATTTTGAAATTCTGCAGATTTCGATATTCTGAAGTTTGTTTTGCAGGTGGATTTCGCCATTATTCTTCGAGGCAACCTCGAGATTGTAATCTCGAGATTTAAACCTCGAGATTAGGATTTCGAAATATTGCCTTAGACTTTTGTTTAAAATCCACTTGCTCTCGACATTCATCATCAAGAACCTCAACTTCGAAGAAATTCCTCAAAAACTCAAAATTAGAGATTTTCTGCGACACCGCACTGTTTTGGCCATAACTTTTGACTCGGTGATCCGATTTGAGCAAAAATTTTTTTTGTTAGAAAGCTAACGAAAAGATCTTCATTAATTCTAGGGCTACGCCCCAGAACCCATTCTCACGCGCCCTCACTCGCAGTCTTTGAGGGTCAAAACGTTAGTTTTCCGACAAACATTGTAAATCATCGATGTCCAGGTCAAAACTTAGGCTAATCTGTTCATATTCTTTCAATGTCAACCCTGAGGTCAAAGCTTTTCTAAACTTCAATGAAAAGGTTTGAAAATCGTAGATAATTCAATCAACCTCGCGTCAACGGTCATCTTACAACAATCAACAATCAACTGCTGAAGCCTCCCCTGACTCGTCAACATTATGTGATCATCAATATTCTGAAATTCTACATGATGAGCTCAGGGAAACCGTCATGTGTGGTACATGTTCAGATTGCTCCACACACATGGCGGGGATGACAAGCTGTGAGCAATCAAACCTTGCACATTCTGAGGGGGAGTTTCAGTTTTCTCCTCCTGGCGCCTTACACAGACAAAGCAAGGAATCTCTTAACGGATGCAACATTCTAGGGGGAGTATTCAAAGTAATCCTCCCCGGTGCCTAACAATGACAAAGCATACCGAGTGCTCCAGTTGAGGGGGAGTACAGAGAGAAAATGAAGAAAGTAATGAGAGAACATGTCCCTATGGTTTAGTAAACCCAACTAAGCCTACCCAAGGGACAAAGCCGAGCGTAAGTGCGTAAGTGAGCGAGTGAGTGAGTGAACATTATGAGCATTAGGAAGCAGAAGGCTCAAGTGAGAAGAAAAACAATTATCAATGATGAGTCTGCTACCTCAATTGCCTGCTATGAATTGAACATTTGCTCCTAGCCACTAAAATACTCTGGACTATCCCCATAGGTTCAGGACTGAATTTATTCAGATCCCGGGTAGAAGTCGCTGCATTTTGTCCAAACGGCGCATGCACAACCCTACCCTAGACCACTCACTTGTCTCCCAACAGACAAGTGTTTAATCATAGTTCACGGGGAACCGCATCTCTCATTACTGTCTCCTTCCGAGGCAAGTAATACTGACTACAGTGGCCTCAGCCCCATGCCACTGAACTTTCATTGTTCACGTCGTGTCTAGTTACTCACTCCCAAATGTTTTGAAATTTTCTAGGACACGGACACACTTTTAGAGTCAGTTGCAGGTCTACATGACCCGCGAGAACTTCCATAGGTCTCATCTATTGCAGATGTAGACTAATGATTGGAAGGAAGTCCTGCTGTTGCAACATAAGAATCACCAACATTTTCAGGTCATTGCTTAAGAGTTTATCTCTATAGTGATGATAACGGGCGTCTTCACGACCCCGGGGGGCTACGTTATCTTTTTTAGATTCTGCTTGTTTTTCATGTTTTTATTTCCGCAGAATAAAAGAATAAAAGCATGACGTCCTGATTCATCGGATCGTCATGAGGGGGAGAGTGGTCCACATGCTGTTAACACTGAACAAATCATGCTGGGACACTTCACTCCTCCATCACAAAATTCAACACCCTCTCTACTATCTCCGCAATTCAAATCAAATGGTCAGCTACACTCACAAATCAACCATCATTATGTTCCGCTGTGCCACCGACAAGTTCTCCTCAAATGCATTCATTCCAAATAGTCAAAAAGACTACATTGTGGAGGAGACAGAGGTCAAATACTCGTGTCCTGAAGATGATTTCCATGGGCGTCT